TTAATAATATAATACTGTGTAATAATTTCTCAACAATTTTTGGCTATAGCTACCACAATTCAATCTTCTTATTGTTTCTATTAGAAGCAATAATAAATAAGTATTTTATTCAAGCGGATAATTTTTGAGCCTAAATGGATTCAAATTTAGTTTTTAGCTTAAAAATACTCTTCTATTTCTACCTCATAGAAGACTATCATAGACTATTGACTTTTTTTAAAGGCAGCTTAAAATGTTAGAAGGTCCTCAAACTCATTCCGAACTCTTTAATGAAGCGAGGAATAAGAACAGCTGCATTGAGAGATGAATGTTATATTTGAATAAATTAGAGCCCCATCCTTTTTATAAATTATTAAACTTAAAATATATGTACATAGCTACCACAAGTCAATCTTCTTATTGTTTCTATCAGAAGCAACAAAAATTAAGTATTTTAGAACATAAATATAACAATATATAAGTATTTTATTCAAGCGCATCATTATTGAGCCTAAATGGATTCAAATTTAATTTTTAACTTAAACATACTCTTCTATTCCTACACGTAACTTTGCCTCATAGAAGAAAGATAACAGCCGACTATTGACTTTTAAAAATCAGCAAAAAAAAGGTTAGAAGGTCTAAGAACTCATTCCCAAGTCCTTAATGAATCGAGAATGTATTATTTAAATGTATTATTTAAATGAAGGGCCTCTTCCTTTTTATTAATTATTAAACTTCAAACAATCGATCTAAGGTCTGTATATATTTCTACGAAACTAAAGCAGCGATTAACTGCCAGCACTTTAATTGACAAACGATCTGGTTCACAACTGAGATAATCAACTAGCTGCATGGTAAAAATCTGTAACCGACATCAGCTAACAACCAACTTGCCACCCACTCAGCTCAGTTCAGCCCAGCTCACACTTGCCGCATGTTTTTGCGAGGTGTCCAAATTAAATTTGCATCAGTTGCTCGACGAGCATCTAAATGATGCCAAAATATATGTATGTGTGTGTGTGTGTACATAAAGCAAAGCAAACAAACTAACAAACATGCAGAAGGATGGCCAAGTGCAGCACTCACTTTGGCATTTTTTTCCATTTCCATTTTTTTCCCCCATTTTGTTTTTTGTTTTTTATTTTTTTTTTATTTTTGAGAATTGCACTCAACAAGAATTTTTGTGCAGTTTATTTTTTCATATGCAAGTTACACTCTCTGCTCTTCACTCATTGCTCGCTGCATGTTTATGTGTGTTTGTGAGTGTGTGTGTGTGAGTGTGTGTGACTGTTCGTGAGTGTGGGTACTTAAATAATTTAGATTTTTGTGTCTAACATGTACAAGTGCCATGGCCTAAACATTCAAGAGCAGCACACAAGTGAGTGACCTAGTTATGTGGGTGAGAAGGCCAGCGAATAACGGAGGGAGGGAGAGGACACAGGAGAGCAACACACAGCAAGAGTTATGTTGCGTGTATATGTGAGTGTGTGTGTGTGTGTGTGTGTCGTCATCATTATCAGTAACAGCAAATGTTGTTGTTGTTGCTGTTGTTGTTGCCACTTCTCGCCTGCCACTGCCAGGGGCAGGCATTATGCGCTCATTAAAATGTCAAATAAATTCAAATGGAAACATAATTTCACAATTCTGAACGCACAGTTGGGGCGCTCACAGCGCGATGCAATGCCAAAAGATAATGCATTTATAAACATGCGATAGATAGTCGCACATAGTCAGCCTTGACTGTGCTAGACAACACTAAATTTATGAGCGAGTATCGCTGTCTGTTGAACTTGCTGTTGAACTGTGAATGGGAGTCGAGCATAAATAAATGAACTGGTGGGAATATTACTGACAGCAGAAACTTTCTGACAGGCTTCAGTTATATATATATATATAAATATATATATATATATATATTTAGTTAAATTATATATTTCAGGTAATATTTAGGCAATGGCATCCAATTAGTGGCAATCATTTTGAACTCAATATAGGACCATTTGTTTGCATTTATTAGTTTCTTTTTAATTGTATTATGTACGACAATATTTGCCATCAAAGCGAAGCACAACTCAACATTACATTCAAAATGAATCTAGCACTTTTTAAGCCAAATTTATTCATTGTATATACAGGAAATATTGACAGCCTTTAATATATATTTTTTTATTGTTTTCTTTTAACCACATGTTCTTTGGCTTTCTGGCTTAAGTTTAGGTATCAATTATTAGCATTGAGAAAGCTTTAGTATACAGGGCTATCTTCTGGACAAACATATACATTTAATTTCATTGAGATAAGGAGAACTGTGAAGAAGTTTCCAAACATTATTGTTATTATTATTATTATATGAATAATTATTCGAACACCTTTTTACTTTTCAAATATCTAAAGCCTTTCAATGATCTTAGGGTGTCATCTGGCTGATAGAAACAAATATATTTGTTGACCGATTTCTTGTCAATCTGCCTCCTCCTTGTTCATTTAGGATTGTGAAAAGTTTCTTAAACTGTTATAATATTATATTGAAGCACCCACCAAGTAGTTGTTGGTCGGACTAGATCAAAATAAATCAATTTCAAGGGCCATTTTTTTTCTTAATGTATTTGTAATTTTAATCTGTAAAATATTCAATTTATTTCATTTTCTCAACTATGTAGAGATTTTCAATGATTTTAGGGTGTCATCTGGTTGATAGAAACAAATAGATTTGTTGACCGATTTCTTGTCAATCTGACTACTCATAAACAAGCTAATTTACAAAACGTTTCTTGTTCATTTAAGATTTAAGAATATAAAATTGCACTGAAGCATCCACCAAGTCTGCCCAAGAAACAATCAATTTCAAAACAAATCAATTTCAAGGTTCAATTTTCCCTTAAAGTATTTGTAATTTTAATCTGTAAAATATTCAATTTATTTCATAATATACATTCTTAGATGAGCAAATAGATATAGAAACATATTAGTAATCTGAGTCTCAAGTTCAAAACTGATTAAAATTTAACCCAAATCTGAATAATGCGATATCTGCTGTCTGCTACTTTATTTGTTAGTGGCTTATAAAGTAAAAGAATGCTGAAATCGTCAGAGAATAATCTGCGGAAGGCATCATCAGTTTATATACAAGTTCTTTATCCGTACACATTTTTTTGAATCTACCTGTAATTTGTATTTGCTTTAATCGGCGTCTTAAATTCGCTATTTGATTGTATATTTTTTTATACTATATGACACTTTTATTTTGTTTATTTTCCAACGGAAGTCAAAACATTATAAAAGCGCAATGTCTTCTACGGAAGCAGCTAGTTTCTATGAAATTCTTTATTGTGTTAAGTGTTTGCGCCGCAGTCGCTTCCGCTGGATATGGAGGCGGAGACGCTACTGGCGCTAGTGCCAGTTCCTCAGGTGGCGATTTGGCGGTGAAATTGGAGGCAGCCTTGGGGGTGGAATCGGTGGAGCCGGCGGTTCTGGTTCCTCAACTACTGGATCAAGAGCTGGAAGTGGTGGAGGATGTGAAGGTGCAGACGGAGAAGGTGGGGGCGATGACTCTGCTTCTAACATTTCTGTGGGAAAACTTATTGAAGATATCAGGCTAAAGAAAAGACAGCATTAGGCGGCAAAATCGGTGCAGCTGGCCTCGCAGGAGTGGCTGTTTAGAAATGTGGACTTGGTAAAGGAGGTGGTCTGGATTAGTATGTGCTGGAATCGGTGTGGGTTATGTCACTGTATTATTAAGTTGCTCTTTAATTTTAACAGCTTTCTGTAATATAAAGAAATAGTCGCTCATGTTGCATTTCACAGAAACTGCTCTAATTATTTATTCTTTAATGATTAAGGGTATGCTGTAGTGTTGTCTTAGCGACACAATGACCTTAATTGCTGTTCGTGCTGATAATTATGAAGCACACTAATGATTCCAATATTAAGTTTACTGCAATTCTCGGCGTTTACTTGGATCTTTGCACTTTCCCTCCAAATGCCAACACTTTGAAATCTCATGCCCTGCTCCTAAAAGCATGCTATATATATATATATGTATTATTTATGCGCTGCCATGAAAACGCTCATTTATTTTAATTAAAACAATTTCCGTTGTTTTGCTGAGCACACACACCGAACACACCAAAGTGGGGGAGGAGGCTGGAGGAAATCGTTCAATTGCTGTAACACGCCTTTATAATTACAAGCATTATTTTTCACCATCAGTTTTAACAGCTGGTCATTATATGGCCACCATTATGGTAGTGATGGTGATGGTGATGGTTATGGTGGCTACAATCCACACCGAGTCGGATTTTTGTCTTTACAAGCATGAAAATGCCATGTCATCCTTGCATTTTTGATATACACATGTATGTATGTATGTATGTAGGTGTGTGTGTGTTTTTGTGTGTCTACACACATGCCCACAAGTGTGCTTGACTGGCCTTGCCACACAATACATCCAGTTGCTCCGTGCTCGCTTGCTTCCTTGCTTTGTCTTTGCACGAAGGCATTGAGTGGCATTTAATTAATTTGCACTCAATGCAATCAGTCTTTTCAAGCACTCTTCTGCCTGGCCGGAACTTTTTTGCCTTGCCTTGCCTTGCCTTGGCTTTCCTTCGCCATTGATTTGCCTGCGTCTTTCATTCAAGTTGACGTCGTGGGTCGATTGCTTTGACAAAGCCATGAGCTTGAAGTGCCGAGTACCTGTCTACATTCTTTAAATGAAGTTTGAAAAACGCAGCCAAATCAGACTGAAAAGCAGTTAACGCCTTATCGTGCTTGACCAGCTTAGGTCGTGCAAAGCAAATGAATTCAATCAGCAATTGCACTTTTGTCCTATACTCGTATTCTTATTAAATTGTCAACTTGTCTCTTACCTTTGATTGCAGCTTCAGCTCAGACCGGCGAGAATGATTTGTTGGCTGCTCCCGCCTCCATTGATGATGATGTCTACATTGCCTCGCTGGTCAATAGCCAGCAGTTCAACGATCGCGGCTACAACAATGCCCAGCACTTTGGCAATGCCTTGGACGCCGATGTGGACCAATTGGAGGAGACAACGTATCCGCCACCAGTCTTTGACTTTGGCATGCCCAGGAACATAACGGCGCGCACCGGACATACAGCGGCCATCAACTGCCGTGTCGAGAACTTGGGCGATAAATCGGTAAATATATACTATACCTATATATATATATGTATATGTATGTAGCTAGTCGGTAAGCGGATCATTCAGGCATGACAGCATCATCTTCTTATCTTAATATTTTTCCATAGATTTACTTTATGCATTTTAAACCATGGCGAGATATTGACTCTGCAGCAACGGACACGCAACTAGTCAAGCTTAAAATCAAGTTACCGCCAGGCCACAAGTTATACCCATTTCCCCTTTCCTTGCAGCAGTTTGTCTTGCCACTTACTTTCCTATTTCCACTTTCTATCTACCTACCAATGACAGAGTGGCCTTCCCTAGTCCATGCACAGTGGCACATTGTTGCTTAGTAATTGGGGAAAAATATCATACTACAAGTATAATAAATATTTTTGCTTGTGTTTGCGAGTAACTATTCGCATTCATTCAACTTTATATATATAGTATTATTTCAGAATTTATGTAACTTACATTATTTTTAGAAGTAGTTGTAAGATCCTTTCTTTCTTCAAGTAATAAAGCTTCATTATTTGGCCATGTCGGTAGATTCTCGTTTTCTTCGTAAAGCCATTGCAATACTAGATTTTTTGTATCCCTCTAAAGTGTTATTTGAAATTGCAATTTACGACTACATTTCGGGAACATGATAAAACTATAATAAGACAAGAATGTGCTCTTTAACTCTTTTAAAACCATTCATACGCCAAACACATTTTTGATAAGAACGTAAGCTCTACTACGATTTGGATATCTATTGGCTATGTCTCAGACATATCAGTAGTTGCCTTCTATTAACATTTATTAAATGATGAGGGAATTTCCGCTGAGCAGGTTTTTTTTGGGTGCCTGAATAGCCGATCGTTCTATCTGCTGTAAAGCAATAAATATTTCATGAAAATCAAGTTCCACAAATATTTCTCTGAAATTTTTAAGATACAAGTACATTACACAGAATGATTCTTGAAAATACAAAATTTTTAAAAGATCAGATTGAGTTAAAGTTAGAGAGAGAAAAAAAGAGAAAGAGCGAGTCTCGTTCCCTCAGTTTGGCTTTAGAGTTGACATTTTTAAATCTGAATTTCATTAAATTTCAGTTTATGCTGTTTTATTGTTTATTTTTCAAATTATTGTTTAAAGGCGCAGCATGAAAGCAGGAATTGTTTTTATGCAACCTTTGATATTGATAAAGAAAAATAAGTTTTTTTTGCATTCTCCGTGTTTATTTATAAAAGGTTTCCCACAACTATTCCGCCGCGCTGAAAATTGTATAAATTATTTTTACAAACGAAAATATTTGTGTAAAAGAATATATTTTCCTTTGTAATTTCAACAATCTGGAAAAAAGACGAACCACTGTGCACCACCGTGGTGTTTTCGTTAGTCAGACCATTTCTGTGGCCAGTGATTTACTTTACGGGCTTGGCTCATCATTTGCTGCTCGCTTTATTTTTAATTTTGTTTTCGTTTTCTTTCTTCTTCTGTGTATCTTTCGGTTTCTCCTCCTGGCTGCTTTATACAAATTTTAAATTTATGCTTTGTCGCATTCGCCTTTGTCGTCGCCCCAGTCCTTGTTTGTTTTTGTGTCAGTTGGCCTCTCGGCCTGTTGCCCTTGCAGAAGCCCTTGGCTCGGACGCGTCGCTTGACATTAAATGCGTCAAAATCTTTTAAAACGTCCGCTTAGCTGTCGGCTCAGGTTATGCTTGCAGAAGTGCTTGTCTGAGCTAGCGGAGCTAAGCTGTTGAAATGCGAGCCATATCTAAACGATCTGTATCTCTAAATGTTTGCCTGTCGACTTTAATAGCAAATGTTGCGACAGTTAGGAGCTGCTCGAAACATCCAGGTATCACTGTTCATTACGGGGGCTGGCTCTGACAAGAGAAGTAAGTGCTACTGGCATATTACATTGTTACTGAGCGAGTCGCTCTGGATTACTGGATTGCCATAATTAGCAATTACTTCTAAGTATTTGAGAATATGAACTGTTGATGACTAACTAGATGGGCTATACACGTATACTTAGTTAGTTACAGAAAATCGAAAATGTACTAAACATTTCGACATAAGTTTGTGCAGACCTTTCACTGAATTTCATTTGAACTTGCTTCCTCGTCCAATGTACTTTTTATTTTTTAGAAGATTTATGCCAACTCTTTTATCCAAAAAATTACATTTTTTCATGCCCATGAACTTGAATAAAGTACATGTAATTAAATTTTTATTACAATCCTTCTGGTTTTTCCCCAATTGAGGAAGAATTTAACTTAAAATTGTAACAATGTCTGAATATCCTTGTATCCAAATGCCTGCTTCTTTACGCTTTTTATTTTAAAACTTTTTAATTTAAAAGAAAATTATTCTCACGTGCTGAAAGACAGATTATTGATGATGGAGATGAATCAATAAATAAATTGGATATCCACAGTCTTAGAAAAGCTACTATTTTCTTTTTGTCTTAACTCTTATATTATTTGGAAAGCAAGTTTCTCGCTATAAGCTATCCAAAATTAAGTTTTAAATGAAAAACAAAAAGCTTTGGGACTCTTACAATTTCCCGCAACACTTTACCATTTTATCTTTGTCCAAACGCAAAAATTATGATTAAGTTTTTAATACTTTGTCTAAATTTAAAAAAGTTCTGAATTAATAAATAAATTGGATATCCACAGTCTTAGAAAAGCTACTATTTTCTTTTTGTCTTAACGCGGATATTATTTGGAAGCAAGTCTTTCGCTATGGATGAGGAAATATAAACAAGCTATCCAAAGTTTAATTTTAAATGAAAAACAAAAAGCATTGTGACTCTCAACACTTTACCATTTTATCTTTGTCCAAACGCTTTTAAATCAAGAATGAGGATTACGTTTTTAATACTCTGTCTACATTTAAAAAAAAGCGCTAATAAATTAATTTTCAACTAAATATTTGAACCTACTTTTTAACCGACTTTAAAAAAGGAGAAGGTTATCAATTCGTCAGTATTTTTTCAACACAATAAATTAATTCTCAACTGAATGTTTAACACAGAAACTACTTTTTGATTTGTGTGTTGTGTTCATTTAAATATTGATCATCAATTCCACAAAACCATTGCACAAGATGGCACTGCAAATCTGTGGATTTGTCTTCACATTGCCGTCATTAGAAAGAACAAAGATTGTTCGACAGTCCGACTGACTGACACACATTCGACTGAAGAATATAAGAAGAGAAGCAAGCAGCTCATGGAAACCCAACCCAAAACCTTGCCACTTCCATGCATGGCTGCAGCTTTCAGACCACGTCATCGTCTGCTCATCATCATCTACTCATCGCCGTCATCATCAACAGCAGCAGCATTTACTAGCACCTTTTTTTTTTTTAATATTTCGGCAGTCTCTCCTCTCTGCTGCCCTTTTCCCTTCGTCGCTTTGACACTTTTAGTTTTGGCTGCGATTCTTCTTCATTTTGTTGTTGTTCGTGAACAAAAAAGTAAAACTTTTGGTTGCCTGCGGCAGGCTGGCAGATTACTTTTTGCAGCCATAGCCGGCCGGCTTTATAAAACTTTAAGCCGCTGACATTTTGGGCACGCACTTGCCGCAGAGTCGCAGTCTCGATGCCAGTGGCAGTGGCAGTCGCCATTTGTGTTTTAGGGTTTTTTTTTTCCTTTTCGGGTAGTTTTTGCATTGCGATACTCCGGCTTCTCGGCTGGTGCTCGCAAATCGCTTTGTCTGTCAAGCCCTGCACCCGTTTCTTGCTGGATTCGCACCCGAGGGCATCGTCTGAGGCATTCACCAAGGCAAGGCTACCGTGTGCTAGGATTTGACAAAGTTTTTTGTATTGAAGTGTTGGTGTTGGAGGTGCTGTAGAGCTGCAGAGCTGCAGAGTTCATTTTGCCGTTTGCTTTATTAAATTTTCTACCTTTATTTCGTTTAACTTTGGCAGGCTGGGATACAAAGCAATTTTAAAAATTGACTTAAGCACTCACACTAAAGGCGTTTTTGTCGGTTTTCGTTCTCACTCTTCACTATTTTGCAGGTATCCTGGATACGTAAACGCGATTTGCACATTTTGACTGCAGGCATCCTCACCTACACATCTGATGAGCGCTTCAAGGTACGTATACGTAATGAGGCCATCCATTCTCTAGCACTGAGTAGTTTATTAAATGCCCGCCAGCCAGCCAGCCAACTGGCCATTTCTACGCTAAGTCAGCTTAATTGCTCATGCTGTTGGAAGCAAGTTCTGTGCGTGCTTTAGTCTGTGCATGTGTTTGTGTGTCTGAGTTTGTGAGCACACTGATTAAATTGGCCCAAGGACGCATGGAACGTTGCTTGCCCCATACCTATACCCATACCCATGCATTTACCCGTGGCCGTGCCATCGATGTATTTACTCGTACCAGTTCCTCCATCTAATTCCCATTGTGTACTCTGCAGGTTGTACGCACCGCCGACTCCAAGGACTGGACGTTGCATGTGAAATATGCACAGCCGCGCGACAGCGGCATATACGAGTGCCAGGTGAACACGGAGCCAAAGATTTCGATGGCCTTTCGCTTGAATGTCATAGGTGAGTACAGCAACAATTTTCTAGTTGTTTGCAAAATCTTACGCCCTGTCGCAGCTGAAGCTGCAGCTGCAATTGTGGCTTTCGTCGCTCATCGACTTATTCTACGCACGATTTAAAGCCAGCATTACATCTACCACATACACTACTATATGGCAAGACCGAGTTGCTTCCGACTTGTGGCAGCCTTGAAACACAACAATAAGTGTGTGTGCCATTAGGTAGCAAGCCATTTAAATAATGCATTATAATTCTAGCTTTTAAAACTTCAAGTAGTTGTCAAGGCTCGAAACAATTATTTGGTAACCTGAAGCATACTGGAAAACAACTTAAAGCTTAAATTATATTTCTAGCTTTTAAAAATTCAAGTAGTTGTCAAGGCACGAAACAATTATTTTTTAAACTGAAGCATACTGGAAAACAACTTAAAAATTAAAGCGCACACAACTAAGTGCTTTCATGAACTCCTTCAGCTTTTAAACCTTTTAGCCACATGACAAAATTTACAATTAATTACACTAATTTAAATAGCTTTGTGAAAGTGAAGCCTAATATTATGTCGCCTAGAATTAATTAAAATAAAAATGATATAAAGAAATGGAACAAAAATAGCTTAGCTTAAAAATTCCTTTTTCATTTAAATGTTGAACCTTTTTCAATAAACATATTGTTATTTTTCTTAAAAATTATAATAGCTAAAAGTTTTCTAAATTTCAATATCAAAGAAATGATATTAGAATTTTGTTGGGAATTTTGTTGAGAATTTTGTTTGCAATTTTGTTGAGAATTTTGTTAGGAATTTTGTTGTTGGGCTTTAAGATATTACAACAAATATTTAAACTCTCTGAGGAGAACTAACATTGCATGCATCGTTGACAAAAAAATGTTCCAATCAATTGACATTTCTACACTTAGGGAAAAATATTTTAATATATGTAAATTTTGGCAGATTTCGAATAAATTACAGCCGACCCCAGTGGCAGTAATATCTGCAATAGAAAGCTTAGATCAAGTTAGAAGCATCTTAGATGCTCTGCAGTTCTGAATATACATTTCAGTAACATGTAAATAAATATCTTTTAAGTGTGTTTGTGGACATTAAAAAGAAATATTTGGCGCTAAGCGCCTTTGTGTCTCGCGATTCTACAAAATGCAATGCCAACGCTTTCGTCAGATATAGATCCGAGAGCTGGCTGAATTTTCTGTTTGGGGAAGAACCATTAAATTCTGAGACAAGCAAGGAGATTATAGAAAAGCTAAGCTATGGGGTCAATTATTATATTTATTTTATTTACTTTGTTATTGATGAAGCTTTCTGAGGAATTTGCTTTGTTATGTCTGTTTAGCTGCTTGCTCCAGAATTTATAAATTTCTGCTTTATCAAGATTGATCTAAAGTTAAACAAATTTAAAAAATATAGCAGCTTATTTATATGGCATAAATTGGCTTTAATTGTTTATTTAAATTTTGTCATTTAATTGAGACGAAAACAAAGAAAACTTTTGTTTAGCTGATAATTTGGAAATAATTACCTAATGTAGGAACTGATACATATATTTTCAACAATATTGTGTTTAATTGTGAGTAAATTACTTAATACAAGTATTGGCAAGAGTGTTTAGAGTTAAATCCAAACACTTTTTTAAACATATTGTTTACTGCAACATAAAATATAGACGCGACTAAAAAATGTCTAGGATCTTTATGAAAACAAATAAATAATTCAAACTACTTGTAAATAAATGCCCATCCATCTATGGGTTTGTCTAGATGGCGGAAATAATAAATTCTCGAGTCATGTAGCAGTGCAAGAAAAGGACGGCCCAGCGTTTAACTTTGAATTTTTTTTTTTTACCAATTAAAGCAATTTTTTTGTATACTTTCTTCGACCGCTGACATCATCACATCTGTTAAAAGATTTTGCTTGAGTATTGCGTTTTGCAGGGTATGCATATTGCCGGCATCGATAATGAATTTTCAGGCAATTCTGTTTGAATAGCAAAGTCATGTTACACAATCTTCTACCTAGGCGTACAACCGAATCTCAATTCGGTACCCAAACCATGCACCTTCGCCAGCGGCTGGCAGTCAACACTTCGCTGTCTATTTTCATGCACGCTTTGCATGCAAACGCAATTTGCATTTAAATTCAATACTAAATTCATATGCTCTCTGTAATGCACACCAAGCAGGCAGGAGGGCGGGAGGGAAGCAGGCAGGCAGGCAGGCAGACTGGCAAGGATACTGGCAGTCTAGAGATGTTGCTTCTGGCATGGATTCTACAAACACGCACGAGTAACTGCAGTTTCTCGCACTGTACGTAAGTGTGTTTGTCTATCTGTGTGTGTGTGTGTGCGTGTTTTGCGCGACTGCTTTGAGGTGTTTTCTACCAGCCCCCTGTCTTCGTCTATGTTTCCGCCCATTGTTTTGCCGTTTTACAAGATTTCTACAATGGATTTCCGTTGCAGCTAACGTTTTGCGCCTTTTCGCACAACTTGGCCAGTCCGGCCTGTCTAGCTGTCCTTTGTATACATCGTGTGTACGTGTGTACGTGTGTATGTGTGTGTGTGCGTTGTAATAAATTGTTTTGCAAGGCATGCACGTTCATGTTTCATTCATGTAGGTAAAATTGATTTGAAACTTTTTGCTCTACCCCCACAGCTCTATAAGTTAAACGAAGTCAAGCGAGCAACCCCAACCATGTTTATCATTATATTCAGACTAGCAGTTGGTTTTAGTTTTCTTCATTTTCCCCTTCCTTTTTTGTTGGGGTGGGGTTTTATTTGTTTGTTCTACTACGAGTATACAAAGCGTGAAAGTTAATGGAAATTATCGAATAGTTTTCTGGTTTTGTCGAGTTTGTTGAGTCGTTCATTCGTTTTGATATCAGTTATGCGTTATGCTTATCCCCAGTTGATTTATGTATGTGGCCACATTTGTGCTTCTGTGTGTGTGTCTGTGTGTGTGTGTGTGTGTGTGTGTGCTCACTCATTCATGCATTCGTTGCCCAGTTTTTGGTCAATTTCATTTCATTTTTTGCACAAGATTTGCCATCACTTGAGACTCATTCATGTGATTCAATTGGGCACAAATGAATTTGTTGTGATTTGTGTGCGCTTTTCAAATACGAGCATGAAATGAAATGAGAGCTGTGCGTCAAGTGCTAGTCCTAGTTGCTGTTGCATGCACACAACCATCGCTTGAGCTATAGGATTCCATTTGTGTTGAAGTGTAAGCTAAATTGGTTCATAAGTATGCTACGCCAAACAAAACCAATGGGACTCAAACTTTATGATTATTTTTTTACGAGTTGTAATAGTATTCTCGGCTGCATGTGTGAGCTGATTCACTGGAAATATGAGGGTGAACAAATACACGTATATGCAATATATAACAGAAAAATACAGCAATTCACAGTACATACTATAGAAGTAGTTAACTAAAAGAATGTACCATAGATAAATATGGGAAAAATATAGTAAATGGTAGAAACATGAACTGTTCTTAGAGAACAATTTCTTCTTTCTGGCTTTACGATAACCTCCGTTTATTTTCGTTCGTACCTCAAGCTTCAATCTCTCTGCTTCTTCGTATATCTGCGAAATTAATTTGCGAAATCGCATAAAGCAACCATAAAGCCATATTAACGCGCTTAACTTTTACGAACTACACGTCAAAAACATCCGCTTCCGTTGCCACGTCGCCCAACTTAGCCTTGGGCTCACCTTGCCATGGCTCCTCTCGACAATGCACTTCTGCATTTTTCGGCACCGACAGCAGTGTGTGCCAGTAAAAAAAATGCAGTGCCTGACGGAAATAATATCATAGCGGCAAAGGAAACGACAACAGACTGACATCTTGCGTGTTGCTTACGACGTTGTGTGCAGGAAGTCAGAGCAGCTGCGCCAACAAGCCACATGCGTTTGCAGCTTCATCCACTGCGGCAGCGACTTTATGCTAATGATTCGAAAAATGTGGCTGTGGTTGCCACAGACAGAAAAAACATGCAGTAGAGCAGAGATGTGGAGTAGAGATGTGTAGAGGTCTGGGTTTTTGTTTGATCCGCAGTTAGTTCATTTTTGTGGAGTATGCTTTAACTACTAACTCTTAAGAATCCATTTGAAATTTCATGCAGAGTTTAAAAATTAATGAAGATGGTCAAAATTAAACATCTATGCACCATCTGCTTTTAATTAAGTGAATAATGGCAGATTTGAATTCTAAGTAAATGGACAAGATTTAGCTTATAAGATGTATTTTCTGCTTAACGAGCTGAAAAGATATCGTCTATATATCTTCCACTGTGTCTTACAACAAAACCTTATGCTCTACTGTTGCCGTACTTTCTTATCTCTCATTAGAAGGATTTTTTTTTGTTTGTTTTTTTTTTATATACAAATTTTGCAACCTTGCTTACGATTGGCGACCCTTAAGTGATGCAACACCATCGAATCAACATTCTCAATCTGCACTTTGGTCTCCATATCATAAGAAATAAACAGGTTTTGAAATTATATCGTTTCTAGGACAGCTATTTGTTATATGGTTCAGTTTCGTTATATTATTGTACTTAAGTGTGTCCATCAAAAAGAAGCCTTAGCGTCGACGAACATCATGTAGATATTTATTTATTTCCTTACACTTTATATTCAATTTTCAAAGGAAATGTTCTTTGTATCTATGTATATTCTTTATAAAAAAAATAATTTACAATATCTTCCGAATAGTCATCCAAATCGAAGTAATTTTTGACTTTAATTCATAACGCAACATTGCTTGCCGCTTCCATAAAATCTCTGTAACATAACATAATGTTATTAACATTATGATTCAGCAGAGCTCTCTCTCTCTCTCGCATTACAGCGGCTGATCTGCAAATGCAATTGCAGTGTTCTGTTATGGATCTGTTAGGAAATATATTCCTGAATGGATATATTTAAATAAAAAATGATTGATTGCTTAGAATTTTTGGGAGTTGCAGTATTGCTTGATAAAGGAAATAATTATTTTTGAAAATGTTTTCAGTTTCCACATCGATGGGCAATAATTATTAATAATGCACTTCGTTTCCGCTCAATTTGACTCAAAAGGGAAACCAAATCCGTACATACAAATAATGATCAAAATAATGAGCTGGTTCACTGAACAGGACTACAAACGGAGTTGAAAGGCTGTTGGATTAAAGCTGTACGCGTCGGTTTCAAGCCACACCAGAGCCAAGGCTGTAATTAGCAAATGGCGCCAAATTGAAAATTGTATTGTGTGCGTGTGCGTGTGTGTGTGTGTATTGTGTACTCGTAGGTGGGGCAGGGCTGGCTTTTAAATTCAAATGCCCTGCTTCTAAACAGTGCACGGTGTCAATAAGCCGTGCGGTCGTGTGTGGGGGGAGGGATGGCAGGGAGTGGAGGTGGGTGTGGGTGTGGAGTACATTAATGCCAAGTTAACTAACTGCATGAAGTCGCACTGTTTTAGCCATTGTAGCTATACAGCCCACACAACCATGCCCCTACCTACCCCTACCCCTGCCCGCACGTTTGATGCTGGCGCACATCATTAACAACGTCAACATTTGACTTTGTTGACTGCTGGCCTGCTGTTAGCCGTGCTTTCAGACTGCCAGCCGGTTCGCCTGCCAGACTGCCTGCCTGCGTGCCTGGTTGGCTGTTCTCGCTCCTGTGACCCACTGAACAAAAAACATTAAACCAATTTTCAGAGCCGCATTTGTCTCCGTCTACGGCAGCTGCCGATGTGAACGGCGGCTTATCTCGGCTGAAATCATGGCCGCACATTTTGTGCCAATATTTGAAAGCCGTACACAGGCGCAGGCACGAGGGTGGCACAAATGAGGTTGGCGAGCAGTTCTTCCTCTCATGTGCCTATAACTGGCTTTATGTGGGCTTAACATAACCCGCCCAGCCCGTCAACCCCACACATCAGAAACAGTGGCAGCAGTAGTTACAATAACAACTGGCTAACAACACTTAAAACGTGTGTGTAATAAGAACTGAGGGCAACAGCTTCATTTCTCTCACTCGCCCCACCCCAACCCCCACCCCCAGCCTCGCCTGGCCTGGCCTGGCCGGTCAAAACAAAAGGTCAATGATATTCACATAAACTCGACAACAACAACAAAACCACCAAATGGCTCTGGCTCTGGCATTGTGGCATTGTGGTTACAAATTTTTATGTGTTAGTTTTGCTATTTCGTTTAGTTTTTATTTTTATTTGGTGTTATGGCAGTTTCTGATATCAAAAGACACGCATCCTATACACAATTCCATGAAATTGACTTTGCCATTATGACCCGAGGCCGGCACAGGAATGAAGTGGTACTGGAGGTGGTTGTGTCGGCGGTTTATACGAGTAAGCCATGCCCGAGGCTCGACAAAGCGGTCTTTATGGCTATGAAAAAGCTGCTCGCTCGGGCAAAACTAATAAATAGCAAAGTAAGAAAAGATTTATGGTATGTTTTGTCCTTTAATAAGTTGAGCCTAAAAGTGGCTAACAGCAGCATTTTTGAAAGTTAAAAATTGTACTTGTGTATTTGGGTTTTGCCCGACAGCGTTTTAATTTTTTTTCTCGTCTGCCTCCTTAAATGTCAGAAGCTAAAAATAAAATGATTCTTAAATTCAAGTCCCAGAGACTGTTGAGTATGAAAGAGCTGTGCTTTATATAGAAATGGAAGAAATGTTTTTCTTCTTTTACTTTAGAAGCAACTCAAAATATGTTTTGCTATAAAGAACAAAATGTTTCTAGAGTTGGAAATAATTTATTGTCCAATGTTTATGTCGATATGCTTATGGCTAATTATATTTACTTTTTGTAGGAAAACTCTTGTAACAAACGTACAAGAATTAATAAAACTAACAAATAGTTTTACCTGCCTTTTCAGCGGAAAAAAGAAATCACTACAAAATCAAATGAAAAACTAATGAAAAATCAATAAAAATATCAATCCCGCAAATATTTGCAGCAATTCAATCTTATCTGTTTAGAACTTCGATAATTTAAATAGTCAGTTATATTGGGAGATTCCAGAAGGACACGTTGTTTTTCAAGGAGTGGATAAAAAAGTTTGTAGAGCCAATCAAAGGGAATTGAAGCACAAATATAACTGATTGGTGGAATGGTGTAAACAATTTCTTTAAGAATATTGGGTTGGGATTTTACTTTTATTTGGAAGTCCATTTCGCTTATGTTTGGTTCGCCTATTAATTTAATAAATGACAAAAAATTTAAAATTGTTTTATAAATTTCTCAAACTTACAATCAAGCAGAAAAGAAAAGCAAAAATGCGGATTATAGAACTTATTATAGAAGTTGTTCTGATATTCTTCCTAATAAAAATATTTGATTAACAGAGATGTTCTTTAATTGTCTATCGGTCGGTTTTTTTGAAGAGTAATACTATCGGTTTTATTAGGGAAATACTGATAGTGCTTAGTTTTGATTTATAAATCAACTTTTACGTCCTCAGTAGATATAAGTGAAATAAAACATGATTCCATCTTTGTGTACTTACTTTAAAAAAACGGTCGAATATACAATCAATTCCATTTCTTAATTAGATTCATTCGTTAGAAGTGATTTTTGAGTCGAATTTTCGAATGTGTGTGTCAATATTTTAAAATGTTTATGCCATAGCATAGTTTACCATTTCGTAAATATGTTTCGAGTGCTGTTTTGCTAAACTGAACTTAATTTTAACTTACTTTGAAATGCATGTGCCCCTGAAAGTAGGCAATACAAAATTTATATAACTTAAAATGCAATAAAAATATCATTTTGCAATAAAATATTAGTCATTAAGTGCAATGTATATTGCACAAAATGTAAAGTTTTATAATAAAAAGAAGAACATTTTCATTTACCTACTAAATTGAAATCTTTAAAGTGAAATGAATATAATTACCGATAATGAGCGACACACATACTCGCACACAGCTCATTACTAATTCAATCGCTGCTTTATTGCTTTATTGCTAATGCCCATTAGCTTTTTAAGTAGCCAACAGCGCTATTTCCAATTGACAAATCTGCTGCACTCAGTCACGTGAGGGCGGCACTTTAACAAGTGCAGACCCATATCAGCTCGCAATGCCACATATGCCGGCTATTGTCGCCTGCTGTGCGTGTGTTCGAGTGCGTTCGAGTGAGTATGTGTGTGAACGACGCCATCTTGTCGTAATTGTATGCCTTCCAACCAATTGCTGCAGCCATTTGGCTACACACGCTATTGAAATCCGTGCAGGTTGGCCACATGATTATAGCAGCTCTACATACTCCACACCCCACACCTATACCCACACACTCAATCATAGCTAGAGCAATAGTAGTCTGACCAAAGAATAGGATTTGTTGGGATGGGTAAGGAGGCTACAACACGACACATGCCACCTGCCACCAGCCACCAGCCACCTACAAACGCTATTAATCAATTTTGTGCACGTTCCACTTTTCCATGCAGTAACGCCGCCAGATGCCAAAGCGATTATTGCCGGACCAGCGGACTTGTACGTGAAGGTGGGCAGCGTCATAACGCTCACCTGCCATGTGAAACAGCCGGCGACAGCGGCGCAGGATATCGGACCAATTTACTGGTACCGCGGCCCTTACATACTCACACCTTTTGTGGCGCATCCGAACGATGCGGCCATCGATTTGCAGCGCATCTCCATGGAATCAACGTTGGCTGAGAAACTGCAAAGCAGGTAAGCAGTCGCATAATCACAGCCACTGAAGGCACTGAAGGAACTGAAGGCACTGCTGGCACGCACAAGGCGGAGAAGGAAGAAGTGGGCTGGAGCATAGTTGTAGTTGTCGAGCACTTGCCACTTGATTCCGTTTGCGTTGCCTCCGATGCTGGTATACGAGTATATATTGCTATGTGTGGGTTTCCAGCTCACTCGTTGCCTGGCATTTTGAACTTTGATCAATGAAGTTGAATACGTGTGGCATTTGATTAGCCACCTTATACACACACACACACACACGCACATGACACCCTGCCTGCCCGCTTCTCCCCTCCCACTGCCATCTTTATGTCATCTTTGTGTCACTGCCAAGTAAATCGTATTAAGTGCTCAATCGTTGCCTTAAAGTTTTGTCTTTTAAAGCCGTCTAATCTGTGCTTCTTTCAGGCTGCGCATCGCCAACGCCCAACTCCTGGATACGGGCAATTATACATGCATGCCAACCACAGCAGAGGCGGCCAGTGTGGTGGTCAATGTTATCAATGGTGAGTACATACATATATGGAACCTTATCTTCAAATAAATGTAACTAGTTCAACATCAAGAATGGAATACAAGTGCCGTATTTTAAATTCAATTAAAGAACTCTGTCTACAAACAACATTAGAGCGCACATTTGTGCCTCGAATTCGAGCTGACTTGCAAAAAACAATGTCAACATTAATTCCTGCAATTGGTTTTATTTTGTTCAGTGAATTAAACACATTAATTGAGCAAGTAACATGCATACCGGTTTCAGCTGTTGTTTCCATTAATAGCACTGGAATGGGACGACTTTACGGCATTACAAAGCAAATGTTTTGCCTGTCAACTGTGTTTGTTTTTAAAAATGTCTCAATAAAGTTACGATGGGAATTGATTAATGAACAGAGCGTATTACATTTCAAAAGGAATGGCTGTACGTATCGAGCAACCGTAACCCTCAATATGTTTTACAAAAAATGTATTTGTCAAATGTTAGACATTAATTGGCTTGCGAAATAAATTCATTGTGAAATATAATTAGATGAAAACGTAATGGAATGCTCTTAACTTTGAACAAGTACATTATTCAAAGTAAGTCATAACTTGCGACAGACTTTTCTTTATATGAGCTAAATTATACGATGTGGACATATCTAATTAATTGTAATGCTATAGAGGAAACGTTGACATGAATTTCATATGCAATTCTTCATATTTGTAGATATTTAAAGAAAAGTAATTGGTTTATCAATTCACGATCCTAAGTAGCTTTAATTTTAGTTAATTTTTATTTTACAGGTCTTCCCTTCTAATTCGAGTTATCCTTTTTAATCGCTTATTCTTTTTTATAAACATTTGCTTTCCTTTTATGACAAACATAATCATTTAGCTGCAAAACTGTCATTTCTACAACGAGTCGTAGTTGCTTTGAATTATTTTTGTTTGGTTTTAATGCCTTTTATATGCTTCTTCATTTAAAATGCCTTATTTAATTTAATGTTTAATTGTAAAATTGATTAACTTATTTCAAATACTTAAAGAGGCAATGAAATATTCGTTCTTGTTCACCTCTTGCAGATGAAAGCCCAGCGGCCATGCAAAAGAGCGGAGTAACTTCTTGTGCCCTCAGCAGCCACAGTTGGCTCATCATTTTGGCATTGAGCGCAACCATAAGGAGTGCCCTCAGTATTAATACAGTGGTGCGATGGCTATTTTCCGGTTCCGGCTACAGCGGCCATTGCTGCACCTCAGACTCTCATCTAATCCATTTGCATATCAATTATTGCTGCAGGCGATTCCCAAGAACTCCAACAAAGCAACGAGCGCAAAGTTTTAATTGCAGTTCGGGCATGTTAGCCTCGTGATAATTAAATAAAACAGTCTGCGGGCAGTTCTTGTAAATAAATGATTATGTTTACTTTTAGATAAAGAAGGAAAGGCACAACAAAAACACAAGAATATACAATAATTACAAAAAACAGCAGCACCCATATTAAGTGTTAATTTTATGCATAGCGTAAAAGAAAACAACTAAAAATAATAATTATTATGTAACAATAACTATAAAGATAAACGTAATGATAATTATAGGTTCAATGAATTTCAAACAAAGAGAATACAAAACAAACAAGCAAACAAACAAACAAACAAAAAAACAAATTGTTCACAGAAACAATTATTAATGTAATTGCAATGTGTGAAATAACTGTGAGCATTAAACGACGTACTAAATTCAATTTAATGCGTCCACACCCCTGCTCCACCCCCCTTTAACCGCTGCGCAGCACGCCCCTTTGATTTTAATCGCAAGCCCATTACATTGCGCGTAAATTACAAATTAATCCTAGTGGGACGTGCGGCGCCATAAAGAATAAAAGCACGCTTGGAACACGAAAAAAAGAGAGAAAGAACGAAAGAAAGAGTTAAATGTAATGCAAACTAAAACGAAATTTAATAAATTAATAGCCTTAAATAATAATAAATTATTTAATTAATTACTTAATTTTATCAGGCCGAACCAGAAAATAGCACGGCATTTAAATGGAATTTGTTTCACTTTAGCGTGTAAATATTTTAATTGTCGTCGATTGCAAATGAAACTGCACTCTTATTATCTAATTGCTGCTCATAATTTGCTTAATTAAGCGACAAATTGTTCGAGTAAGCAATCAACTAATTGCATTTCATAGTGTGCTCATTTGCAAGCCAACGGACAAAAGAAAACTGATAAATAATTCACACCCTCTCCACTCGAACACAAAAGTCATTAATTAATTAATTAAGAAGGAAGAGAAAAAAGCAGCAAATGTGTAAAATAAGCTAAATATTAATAACCTACATGATCGTATGTATATCACACACAGTTTTAAACCCTTTTCATTTCAATTTTCCGTTTACGCTGCAGCTCGATGCGAGAAAAGCAAACAATTGAAGCAGTTGAGCAAAAAAAAAAAACCCAATAGAAAATGTAACTCATGTAATTTGTAAGCAAAAATGAGACATCAGTGTGAGCTACAATAAATGAATTTCACTAAAAAGAATCCATTGAACAATAGTCTTTTCTACAAAGTAGTTTAATAGCTACTTGCCGAATGAAACTTTAACAGGCGCTTAAAACAATTTAAAATTCATGTTCAACCAAAAGAGTATTCAACCTTCGAACTAATTGCCACTTGATTTTTGATTGTTTACTACAAAATGTGATTTAACGATTTTATTTCAGATTAATTTTCTTGTACCGATTGAACTAAAATATTAGAAATGCCTGTTTGTCCAAAATGCAGGCATCTGATATTAGTGTGGTGAAAAATCCGTCGTGTTGCTATTCATGAGATTTCTGCAGACTTGCAGATTTAATTTGGCTCAGTCGATAAGATTTTGGTTAATATTTTGGGGCCGAAATGCTTCACCAAACTCTTAATTACTGACGAAATAAATGAAGGAGTGTGTAATTAGCGCGTTAATAAGGAGCCGAAATTGGAAACATAAAAATTGAAAAAAGAAGCCTAAAGCTATCCTGCTTCAGACCCACAATAAGTGTATGGATAACCTAAATAATTGGTATTTGAATTTAATTCCTTTGATGCCATTTCCGCAGCTTTTTTGAACACAAGGTAAGTCATTAGGTTGTCAATAAAATAAAAGACTTGCAATAATCGAACGATTGATTCCAATAGAGAGATACGGAGGTATCTCTTTAGCCATATTCTGCCAATTTAATTGGACTACTGTATTTTCGAGTCTATTTAATGATTAATACTAAGTATTATTTTGGTACAGACCAACAATTCGTTTGGTCCCTCCAATACAATTGACTTATCTTATTCATAACTTTGTCCTTTAAGCAGTACTGCACTAAACATTTCCAATAAATAATTTCGCCCAATTAAGCTCGACATAATATTTATATTCAGTTCATACAAATCGATAGCATATCTTTTTGGACTTTATTTATATAATAATAATATTAAATAAATTATAAATATTTGGGGATTAATTGCTATACTTAGAGCCGATTTAAATATACAATTTATTCACATTTTTGATTTAATTAATGATTGATAGCCTGGAGCCAACTACATCAGCTATCTCTCTAATATTTTAGTTCGACAAATTTCAACTCTATGCTTTTATATGCTTTTACTCACAATTTTAATTCGCATTCTATTTTATCCAAATGTTGACAGTCTCGTTCTTAGCTCCTGAATAAACTTATACTAACTAACTTATATTAAATGTATATGTAAACTTAGACTCTAGCTAAAATTGTAAATAGTTTTAGAAACTATGAGTTTCAAGTTTTTGCGGCACGAGCTGAGATGAAGGTAGAGAGCACAAATAATATAATTTTAAATTTAAATGAAAGTTTTTGCTTAGAGAATTTATTATTTACAGACAAATTTGTATAATGGAGTAATTTGTTCTGAGAATAAAAGAGTGTTCATGTATTAACAAAAAAACACATTCCATGAACATATAAACTTTTTAAGCTCAAAACAAATATTTTACAAGCCAAAGTTGTTTTTGTTATTGTTTTAAAACAATATTGAAACTCTTTAAACTTTTTGCAGCTGGTATGTGCATACCTTACCAACCCTTTTTAATGTTTTTATTTAAAAATTCCGAGAAACATTTATTAATAAATATTAGCTACGTGCCATTATTGCAGCTTTTGTTACGTATACGCCACGTAAGCAGCATACAAGCAGTAATATGGGGGAGAAGGTTAACATTGTCTGCCGCAGTGCATTAAGTCCTTAATAAGCACAAGCATGGCGGACGGCCACAAATGGAGTGCGTGACTTAAAGCAGAGCCAGACAGGACTAATTTAATTTGGTTTAAGCAGGTCAGCAGTTAATTCACTTCTATGCCAGTCCATATATGAAATGAACTGATGCCTTGCCGAAATTAAAGCACAAATGAAAAGTAAACGAAAGCATTTCAAATTAAGCGCATCAGTTAAGCCAAGCGACGACTCATTAATTCTATAGCCCCGCACACGAGGCGTATGTGTGATGTGGCCAGCCAAGGGGCCACTGTTTGTGTGCCAGTCTTTGTGTGCGTGTGTGTGTGTGTGCGGTCAGTTTTTTGAGCCATGGCATGGGTGTGGTCCATTCGTGTGTGGATGTGTGTGTGTGTGTATCTATGCTGACTGTTGATAGCTCTGTTGATGCCCACACCACTTTTTCGCGTGCTCATTGCGACCCGGCGCAGTGTCAGCGGCCAACAATACGTTACGGTCTCTAATTTGGACATGCAGGGCGTATGAGCGATTATTCAGAATGTTGGCAAGGATATACGTACATACATTCACACCAGTATATATGAATGGATGTGTGCAACTGTGCTGCATAATTACGCAGCAACTTAAACTGTTGTTGTTGTTGCTGTTTAAACAGCAGTTATTGATAGTTGGCATAAATGTGTCAGAAACAATGCTTGAAAGCTTCAACTTTTTTTTACACTACATGCATTTAAGAAGTTAAATATAAAGATAAAATCTTGTTCAGCAATCTTGATGCAAGACAATTCCTTTCCTTTTAGAAGTATAGTATAATTCTATAAATTTTCAAAAAAAAAAAATGCTGGACAGCTTTAACTTTTCCTGACACTACATAAAGATAAAATCTTGATCAGAAATTGTGATGCAAGACAATTCCTTTCTTTTTATTAGATGTATAATTCGATAAATTTTCAAAAAAGATCTTTGTCAGTTATGTGAGACAGTTCATTTCTTTTCAATTGAAATATTATTCGATACATTTTCATTTAGTTCGTACTTTTATTTATGTAGTTAATTATTATTATTGGAAAGGCAACAATGAGAGCTAAGCTTAATTCTCGATATAAGTACATACACCAATTATTCATCCTTTATTAGTATTATTATTATGTGTTAAGCGGAGCCCCCACAAAATTGGAAACTCTCTAACAAACGAGTTTGTAAAGTAAAAAGAAATAGACAAGAACTCTGGCACAAGGGACTGAAATATCTCTCAGATAACTTTTTTGTTGGCACTTCTAAGACAACACTGTCCAACCAGCTGTATAATAATATGCTGGCTTTTTTTAAAATAATTTAAAAAATTTAAATTTAATTTAAATTTAAAATTCCTATACCTTGACTGATCTGGATGACTGCCCGGGTAACCACTTTTGACAAACAATGCTTTCAATGCATTTTTCCGTATCATATAGAATGGAATAGAAACTTTGTTTTCACTTTTAACTTTTCCAAACAATTTGTTTGTTCAATTATGGAAAACATGTATTACGATTTTTATAAAACTCCATTCACTTTGGAGTGCAACTTGAATAAATACCTTGTAATTTTCCAATAAATTTAATGCGCTTGTGTAATTTTTATACTGACGCCACTTAATAAGCAGCAGTAAATGCAACAAATAATTGTTTATTGCAATACGTGTGTTTGATAAATTGCATTACTGTTGCAATAATTAAATAAGCTAACTATATGAATGATATTAAAATAAATGATAATTCATGAAACAATGCGCTGGCCTATTTGTGGCGTCAGCATAACAGCACATGATTATATTGTCAATAGTGTAACAAAATTTGTAAAGCATTTGCAGCCAACATTGTTATTATTTTATATTTCGCATACCACAAAAAATTCATCTATTCACTTTAGAAAATTAGTGTGATATATGATTCGCTTATTTATATTCAAAACGTAAATAAATTTAATGAGCCTGCGCCGTCATTGACCAAACAGCATTCGCATATATTTTGTATATTTTAAAAATAAAAACTTAATACAAAACTGACCGAAAGCAAGAGCTGCGAATGTCCGGGTAGCCGCAAAATGGAAC